AGAAATTATTTGTTGTCAAGGGGGATCAAAGTGCTTTACAGGTAAGAAAAATAAATTAAATAAAACAGCTTTAAATAACCTAGAAAAAACCTTAAAAAAACTATGAAAATACAATACACAAGTAAAAGTCCTATATTAAATCAGTATTTAAAAAAACATAAACCAGTGGCTGTACCTCTTTCTTTGTTGTCTGCCAGGTTTTGTTTTTGCACATGAGCTAAATTGCTCTCTAGCCATAGCGGGATGGTCTATGGTGTCATTAGTACTCAATAAAAATCTACATTGCTCAGTTGTACAATAAAACTGTTGTTTTTATCTGCATATACAGTCAGCTAGGGAAAGAAGCCTTGCGGTTGGCACAAGAATAGTTGGCTCATCTATATGTATATTTTGACGGCACAAGACTTGTATCATGCAGGATTTTATTATTAAAAAAAAATTTATCAGAAAATTTAGTTTAGTTTTACCAAAGACTATGACATATAGGGCATAAAATTTAGAATCATCAACCATATTAATAATTTTGTTTTGTCATCTCTGTGTAGGTCCGGCTGCCCGTGATGAATGCAGAGTATTTCAGAGAAAACGTGCTGCCAAATCCACTGGTGAAGAACAGCAGTCTGGCTCTGCTCTGTGAAAACATGATTAGCCACGATAACGCTTCGTTATCTACGCCTCACTGGCCCCCTGCCTTCAGTCTTCCTCGACTGCCTAATGCCATACTAATGGCCATCGGTGGGTGGAATGCTGGACATCCAACCGACGCCATTGAGTTGTATGACGTCCACCTTGATCGTTGGAGCAGCCTGACTCCCAGTCTTGAGTATCCTTGTGCCTATCATGGCACCGCCATCCTGAATGGCTACATATACTGCCTTGGCGGTTTCAACACATTTCAGCATTTTAGCAGGGTGCACAAGTTTGACCTTGTCAACGGCACCTGGCATGAGGCTGCTCCCATGTACCACCGGCGCTGCTACATTAGTGTGACCGTGCTCAATGGCCGCATTTATGCCATGGGAGGATTCAATGGACACAGACGACTCAAGGAAGCAGAGAGTTATGAACCAATGACAAACCAGTGGAATATGATTGCTCCAATGCACGTGGAAAGGAGTGATACAAGCTGCACCACGTTCAACAATAAGGTGGGTGTTATATAAAAGAAAATAAAAATGAGTTATCAGGGGTAGGAAATAACCATGTCCATTCAATTGAATATGGTGCCTCTTGTAACTAAGTTAGTGCATGAGGATTACTTAATGATTTGTTCATATGTCATAAATGCGAAAGACCATTCTGTTTTTTCTTTAGATTTACATTTGTGGAGGATTTAATGGAATAGAATGCCTGCAGACAGCTGAATATTACACCCCAGAGACCAACCAATGGACAATGATCGCTCCCATGATCAGACGCCGCAGTGGCATAAGAGTCATCGCTTATGCATCTCATATATACGCGGTAAGTGCAGGACACTGTGCTGAAATGCAAGTTAAATGTTGAAACCTCACTGGTGATATGACAGGGTTTGCATCAGTGGCTGTGCTTAATTTAATCTGACTAATAGAGGGTTTTAAAAAGAAATAAGATTGTTATGATCAGATATTTGACCCTTTAATAGATCAGTGTGTGGCGGCTACATGTTAGCCAAATGAAACACTATTTATACCGCTTGCAAGCTTCTAAATATATGTATATACCTTAAAGCAGCAGATGTGATGTCAAGGGCTTTCACGTTTCATGGTCTGTACTTGACCAAAGCACTTAACACTACATTTAGTCACTTAGGAGGAATTTCAGTACCCCATGTAATCGGTCATGTTGGGGAGCCCTGATATCACACAGCAACTCAGGGCGCTGCGGTGGACCTCGATGCCGCAGACCTCAGACCACTCATTTGATGTGGCATCATGGCACTCAATGTTAGAACAAGTTATGTGGCCATTCACGCACAGATTCACACACTTATGGTGGCAAGCTACATAGTAGCCGTAGCTGCCTCGGGGCTCACTGACAAAAGCGAGGCTGCCACCGGTCTCTCCAACCACCATCAGTGGGCAATGTGGGTGAAGTGTCTTACCCAAGTATACAATGACAATTAAACTGACAACCCTCCGGTTGCAGGCCAAACCCTTTTAGCCAACGCCACTGTCAGCCCCCACTGTGGTTAAATGGGTCAGACCTAGCAAACAATCAAAGGGTTATATTCACAATGAATTTTGTTGAAACTCACAAGCAACTGCCATCCATCTCAACTCAGAAACCAGTGACAATTCCACATGAGGTGAAAAACGAAAAAAAAACAGACAACCTTGTCAAGAATGATCGGGAGCTTCGAGAACGAGCAGAAGAGTGCTGCAGTTCTGTTTTTTGACCACAGACTTAGACTTAGTCAGATTTTGTTTGCCATTTTGTTTACACAAGTGTAAAACAAAAAGAAATTCCGTTTGGAACAGCTCTCAGGATAACTTCATCTTTTTTAAGATTGCAGCCTTGAAAAATAGTAAAAAAAAAAAATATATATATATATATATATATATATATATATATATATATATATATATAAAAACAGTAATATAAACATATGGAAAATTCACAGTTCTAATGTTTCAGGCACCATATCAAGTGAAAGCTCCATTATGCCTCTTTAACTTTTTTGGTTTGTAACTCAATGGGTCATCTAAGAACATTTAATGACTCTCTTACTGTATTCAGCCTTAAAGGGAAGGTTTATTGAAAGTGTCCTTCTTTCTGGCGCTCAGCAATCCCACCATGTTTTTTTTATTATGGCCATTAGGCATTTCTGATAGTGGGAATATATTACAGAAATAGCAAAGCTAAAATTGTGATCAGATTAGGACTTGATAAGGATGTGTTCTTAAAATTATCAACAAAATCCAGACTTATAACAAAAATTCCCGTCAAAGTAATTAGTTGGGTTGAGTTTCTATGAAGTAGAATACCTTAAAATAAAAGCTTTTTAAATTTGGGCGCTCAGATATTTGTATTTTCCATCTCCCCTCTGCATATCTGCTGCTCTTAGCACTTACAATTTTACTGAGGTACTTACTTGTGTAATGCCTGACCAATACACTCTTCTTTTCTCCAACAGGTTGGTGGCTTTGATGGTGAAAGGCGTTTGAGGTCTGCTGAGGCCTACGACCCTGAGAATAACAGCTGGAGGAATATCGCCTCCATGAAGACCAAACGCAGCAACTTTGGCATTGAGGTGATTGAAGACCGGATCTTCGTTGTTGGGGGCTTCAATGGCCACACCACTTGCTCTAACGTTGAGTGTTACGACGCCACATCTAATGAGTGGTCTGAGGTCTGCAACATGGAAGTTCATCGTAGCGCCCTGAGCTGCTGTGTGATATCAGGGCTCCCCAACATGACCGATTACATAGTTCCTCGTGTCGCCCAGCCGCTGATGCCAGTCATGGAGGGGGAACAAATGGAGTCCTGAGATTCCTGCTAAGACCAGCAACCAGAATCCTCTCAACCAACATCAGAGACAGTTACAAATGTAACGTTACAAAACAAATAAACCATTTCTAGCATCAAGCCCCTGTTGTACAGATCTTTTCTTTTGACTTAAATGTTTCTGCAAGTAGCCTATGTTTATTTTACAGTTCATCAAAGCAGTCCTGTATGGGGTTGACAACACAGGCCAACAACTACTGAAACCTAGCTGTTTTTATATCAAACTTCTTTCAATCCAAAATTGACAGCACATGGTTGTGTAATCCTCTATCTTATTGAAGAGTTACTTCAAGTTCAGAATTAAAAAAACCTAAGGTAAACATTTTTTAGCTGTGCATCATAAAGAACATTACAGTTAAAACCAAATTTGACTTGCTGGAGAGTAAATAGTCTATCAACGTTTTCTGTAGATATCTTAAAATATCTACAGAAAAAAGTTCACAGTTCCATGAGTCCAGCTGCAAGCTCAGACAGACAGGCTCAGATGGAAACAGGTGGTTGAGAGGGACAGAGACAAGTCAAAACTGTACTCCTATCGGGAGCCAGGATCACAGAAATTAAAACTGACCTCCCCCTTACTCAAAACCTGAGCCAAAAATTCTGAGGGCTGCACGGAGAACATCCAGAAGAGCCGGGACACGATCAGGAGACACGAGACAAACACTAAAACCCTCCTGACACACAGGCCCTCAAGAGTCAGGAAAGGAACCAGGGACTTACCTATAAACTCAAAAACCAACAAACATAAATACCTACATGAAAAACTACGAATAATGATCTGGCCCCGATAGCTGGGCTGAACCGTGTATAAAGCAGAGGGAGCAGGTGAATAAGACATCATTTTTTCCCCCCACCCTGGTAACTAGGACACGACTGCAGTGTCTCGGAGAAGTAGAAAATATAATATGAGAAAAGAAACATTTTAAGAAATGGCATACTGATGTATTGGCAGAATAATTTAATATTTTTAAATTTGCTGTAAGAAGAAGCTTAACCATGGCAACCAAACAGGAGTTGAAACAAGAATGGATAGTGAAAAAGAAATGGATACTGATGTGAGATACAAAAAGCCGACCAATGATTCATTGTGTTGCAATTGCCTTGCCTGCCAACTGAAGCTGTTTCTATTCTGGGGTTAAATAGTCTGCTTAGTTCATTAGTATTTATTCTTCAAATGTTGTTTAAACTGTCCAGTTTATTTTCCAAGATAACCACAATAATATGTATAATAACATGCCATGTGGTCGGGCCTTGATTTGACACCCTTATGCAATATAATTATAGCACATACACGGCATATGGCCTTTATCTGGTCCACATTCTGTAACTTGTGGACCAGATGTGTGGACTCCTCATGCATCCATCCATGCATTTTCTTCTGCTTTATCCGGGGCCGGGTCACGGAACCAGCAGTCTAAGCAGAGATGCCCAGACTTTCCAATCCACATACACCTCCTCTAGCTGCTATGGGGACCCCATCGCAACACCAGGCCAGCATAGAGATACAGTCCCTCCAGTGGGTCCTTGGCCTTCCAAGAGGCCTCCTCCCAATAGGACATGCCTGGAACACCTCCCGAGGGAGGCGACCAGGAAGCATCTGGAACAGTTGCCCGATCCACCTCAGCTGGCTCCTTTCGACATGGAGGAACGACTCTACTCCGAGCTAGTCCCTGGTAACTGAGCTCCTCGCCCAGTCTCGAAGGGTACGCCCAACCACCCTGTGAAGGAAACTAATTTTGGATGGTGGGAATGTAGTTCGATCCGTAAATCGAGAGCTTTGCCCCCCGACTCAGCTCCCTAGTCACCACAACATTCCGATACAGAGACCGCATCACTGCCAACGCTGCACCGATCCATCTACCGATCTCATGCTCCATCTGTCCCTCCACTTGAGACCAGGACTCTTTACTGACCTGAAGAGAGGAGTCCACCTTTCTCCAGTGGAGAACCATGGCCTCGGATTTGGAGGTGATGATCCTCATCCCAGTTGTTTCTTACTCGGCGGGACTCCTCATTCCACGTGCTATTTGATTAATTTTCTATTGAGGCAGATGCCTATTTGTGTCAAATTAAGGCTGAGCTTCATTTTTGATCACCTTGTCTTATCTAATGTCAGTGTTGACTTTACTGATCAGGTGCTTTAGTGATTTACTGAATATTACTTTAGGGAACAGGGCCTCCTTGTTAGAAGTCAACACTTAGACAAACTGCGCCACCATGCAACCTAATTGCAAAATTACTCATTTCAATTCAGTTCAGTTTATTTCTATAGCGCCAATTCACAACACACGTCATCTCAAGGCACTTTACAGTTAACCAGATCATCCAGTCAAATTGATTCAAAGTTTTCTATCTAAGGAAAACCAGTTGATTGCATTGACTTGAAGGCAATCCCTCACAATAAGCATGCTTGTAGCGAAAGTGGAGAGGAAAACCTCCCTTTTAACAGGAAGAAACCTCCAGCGGAACTAGGCTCAGTGTGAGCGGCCATCTGCCGAGGCCGACTGGGGTTCAAGGAGACAGAAGCAGAGATAAAAAAGCAGCTGTAAAAGGCGGCCCCGTCCAGGAAACACACAACCAGGCAGACGAGCTCCGAGCCAGCTCCCATGTCAGAGGATGAAGAGAGCACATCCACCCAGTCACAGTCAGAGAAACAGGACTACACTGAAAAACAGGCTGATCTCCAACATCTATAAACAAAGGTGTTGATGGCAGCAGCACAGCTGATATTTCTCTTAAGGGTGGTGTCACAGCCAAACAGGAACAGCCGAGGTGAAGCTACTATGAGAAAAAGCAGAGAGAGCAGAACCTTAGAGATTGAACTAACAGATTCTGCAGAGTGGGAGAATAGTGACAGAATAAAGCAGAATGATGAAAAAGGGGTCCCTATGTCCTCCAGCAGTCTAAGCATATAGCAGCATAACTATAGAGATAGCTCAGGATAACCTGAGCCACCCTAACTATAAGATTTATCAAAAAGGAAAGTTTTAAGCCTAGCCTTAAAAGTAGACAGGGTGTCTGCCTCACGGACTAAAACTGGTAGTTGGTTCCACAGGAGAGGAGCCTGATAACTAAAAGATCTGCCTCCCTTTCTACTTTTAGAAATTCTAGGAACCACTAGTAAACCTGCAGATTGAAAGCGAAGTGCTTTGTTGGGAACATAAGGAACAATCAGATCTCTGTATATAAGATGGAGATTGGCCATTTAAAGCAAAAAAGATTGTGCCAATGCAGAAAAAAAAAATACTTTTTAGTAGAAGCACTTTTATTCTGTATCATGTTGGGATTTCAGTTTCCTCACTCTGGGTTGGTGTTCAGTGAAATTTAACCATTCACTTCATTATTCATAAGTTGACCAAAATCATAACAGGATTTGTTTTGTTATAGAATAAAACTATAACTATAGAATAGTTTATAGAATAATATTTACAGAACAAAAATATATAAGTTAAAAAATAATTAAAACCCATTCATAAAAACAATTCATAGTGAGAGCTGAGAGAAAGCGGCTTGATAAGCTCATCAGGAAGCCCAGCTATGTGATTGGATGCCCTCTGGACTCAGTGCAGGAGGTGGGAATCAAAAGTATCCTAACTAAAATAACATCTCTGTTGGATAATGTTTCCCACCCCATGCATGAAGCTGCAGAACTGGAGAGCTGCTTCAGTGACAGACTGCTGCACCCTAAATGCACCAGGGAGCATTATCACAAACACCTGAATTCCTACATTGTGGGACAATAAAGTGACTTTGTATTCTATTCTATTCTATTTCTATATCTAGTCTATTTTGTATTTTTTTTTTACTATTTTTCAAGGCTGCACTTTTAAAAAAAGATGAAATTGTCCAGAAAGCTGTTCCAAATGAAATTTCTTTTTGTTTTACACTTATGTAAACAAAATGACAAGTCTAAGTATGTTCTATTCTATATATACACGTTTCTATGGAAGCCCGTTTCCGCCACTCTGTTAAAGAAAAAGTTAGATAAATGATCTTATCATAATGAGTTACTATGAGTTACTATGTCAATGAGATACTATCTCATAATGAGATAGTACCTCAAAAGAATGAACTCAGAATAATGAGATAGTATCTATTATAATGAGATAGTAACTCAAAATAATGAGATAGTATCTATTATAATGAGATAGTAACTCAAAAAATTAGATAGTATCTATTATAATGATATAGTTACTCAGAATAATGAGATAGTATCTCTTTATAATGAGATAGTAACTAAAAAAAAATAGATAGTATCTATTATAATGAGATAGTAACTCACAATAATGAGAGTATCTCATTATAATGAGATAGTAACTCACAATAATGAGAGTGTCTCATTATTATGAAATACTAAGTCAAAACAATGAGATAGTATCTCATTATTTTGAGTTACTACAACATCTTAATGAGATAGTTTATTTGATTTTTTAACAGAGTGGCGGAAACGTGCTTCCATACATTTCTGCTTAGTACTGGAAAATAATTAAAAATATTTTTATATCCAGATATAAGTAATAACGTTATGCTCAGGATAAATAATGGTTGTTCATTCTAATATATCTACCATAAATAAATGAGCATAATTAGGTGATCTTCCTTTGGAGTTTTTTCTCCCCATTTTCTTCACTTGAGGGCGCTCCTAACACAGACCGTCACACTTTCAGAAATTAAACAATGGAGGAAGTCAAGATAGGACCAAAATTCCGGAAAATGTCCCATTTACGAATCTACTAAATACGATAATGCTGCATAATAGCATCTAAAACGAATTTTCAATTTTTTGTTCTTTATCTGAGTAGGGTAATTTCGATTTTGGATATGTACGTGAACGCAGCATTTCTTCGTGCTCGGATTGGACGTATCAAAGCCAAGTGGGCGGGACCTCTTCCTCTGATTGGTTAAACTCCTTACAAAATGACGTGCTGCGTGGGTCACATGGGTTTTAGTCCGAAGTGCACAAATTTCTCAGATTCCACGAAT